TACAGTGAAAGACGACAATATATGCAGATAATTGCGAATGGTCGATTGAATTGTTCGAATACGGATTTGATTTTGTGTAATCCGTATTACACGGATTCGACTGCATAAATTAACACATTTCGAAATTAAGTGGGCGTACAAAATATTCTATTTCTGGTTTGAAAATTTTAAATTAGAAAATGAAATAGGAATTATCCGGAGATAAATCGAGTACCCTTTTTTTTTTTTGATGATATATTGTTATCATATGATAATATCGTAATAAAGAACTGTTATATTACTTATTTATTTTCGAATTATTAATATTTAAGATGCCCCAAAAACATCACTAAAGAAGAGAACTTGAGAATAGTAAGATATCGATCTAATTCAATTGTTTTAATAGTTCCAACATTCCATCGATTTCTTTTTCGTGAATATTATATTAAAATATTCTTCTATTAATAATTCTAAATAATATTTGTTTTAAATATATAATTATCGATCAGAAATATAAAAATATATATGAAAAGATAACAAGTCTCGAAAGAAAATTCACGAACATAAACAAATCAAAATAAATAAGACTTATGAATAAATACATCACTAATTTAATTCGAAATCAGAAACCTTGCAGTACGTTGTTAAACCTGGAATTGATGGTTTGGTATGTCAGCTTCTAAAGATTATGGAGTATGCTTCGGAAGACAGTCTGCACCAAAATATACATACCATAGCACAAAGATAAATTAAATCAGCTACAATAGATTTTCAAACAATTCATTCTCAAGATCTTATTTATTGGGACTTGCATAGTGGAAAGATATTACTAAATAGGTTTAAAAGTGCTGGTTTAGGACTTTCGATAACTGTTAATGTTGTATTAAGATTAGAATCTGATGGAGTTCATGGAATTCTACTATACATTGCCCTGGAGTTTTGAACAAACAACTATATGCTAAAATATCTGATATTTACACTTAGGCATAATCATATGGGAAATTTTATACTTTACAAAAATGGGATGGCTTATGGCCACATATTTACGCAAAATGGCGTAATAGTGAAAATCTTTTTCAGAATTATCTTTATCTGATAAAAAGCTACAAAATATAAAAAATGAAGATATGCAAACAGATATTAAATCCAATTATAAAAATAGCATTATTTTACCTAATAATATGTTTAACAAAAAAAATTAAACTATATTATAGCATTATTAAATTAATAATCGTTTTTTATAAATAATGAATTTTATGAATTGAAAATATCAGATTATTGCGCTTTTCAAAAAGATGGGAATTGGAGATTCTTTAGATTTTAAGAATTTTATCGATTTTGAATAAATATTATAGCGCTTTGCAAAAAGATGTGACCCATGATTCTCGTGATGAACGAGGAAAATTTCTGAGATTCTAAATTGTCTATTAATTTATATTTTCGATCAGTTATATTTATATCTATTTGAAATTGTTAAGATTCTTAAAATCTACAGAATCTCCAGTTTTCACGCAACATCGCAATCTGCAGAGGTCACATCTTTTCGCAAAGTGCAGTAATTCAAGTACGTACCTAGAAAATGTGCACCAGGTTGGGTTCAGATGATTGTCCGGAAAATGTCTTCGATTTTTTATTTTTATTTTTTTCCTTTTTTATTAAAACTTTATTTTTCAAATATAACGATAACATAAAGCAATATTTAATGTTCCACACCCGTGTAGATCACTTTTTTAAAAAACTTTAATCGAAGGTATCTGATGACCACCTGATCAAATTCGACGAATTTTTTTATTGAAATTGTACAAGTATGCAGAATTCAAAAATTATCGAATTGGTCAGGTGGTTATTGAGATACCATCAATTAAAGTTAGAGAAAATTTTGCGGCTATTATTCTGATAGACGTTTAGATTTTTTTCAAAACTTTGATCGAAGGTATCTCGACAACCAGCTGACTAAATTCGATGAATTTTTTTTATTTGAATTTTGCATAATTGTAGAATTCTAATAAAAAAAATTTCATCAAATTTGATCCGGTGGTTGTCGAGATACTTTCGATCAAAGTTTTTAAAAAAATCTAAACGTCTATCAAAATAATGGCCATTGCAAAATTTCTCTTTCTTTGATACCTTCAATCAAAGTTTTTTAAAAAATCTAAATGTCTATCAAAATAATAGCCACGGCAAAGTTTCTCTAACTTTGATTGAAAGTATCTCGATAACCACCTGACCAATTCGATGAATTTTTTTTTCTGCATACTTGTAGAATTCTAATAAAAAATTTGTCGAATTTGATCAGGTGGTCATCAAGATGTCTACATGAGTGTGGAAATATCAAATAAGGGGTGTGAAAATATCATTCGCCAAAATTAATTCATAGAATAATACGAATAAACCTGAATTCAATAATAGTTTATTTCTTTTTAACCATTTAATTTGTTTTCTTGACGTTCTTCGATAAACTGTGCTTTTTTTTTGCAGAAAAAAACACAATTTCGGAAAAATCAGGCAGATGATATTATTCTTTACCGTTACTGCCAAAATTAGTTCTAAATGCTTAAAAATTTTTATTGTACGAGTCTTATGTAACAACCCGTGCTTTTCCACATTTATTGGCACGTGTTTAAAAAATAATTAAATCAGACCTTCGTATTCCGGTGTCACAACCTCTCTAGAATGATCCAAGGGACGTGGTAATATAGTATGAAGACTATACCCACAAGAAATATTAATGGTTAGTATAATTAATAACAGTATACTTTTGGAGAGGATTCAGAGGCTTCGTTCGAAAGAGGCAACAACTCTAGGTATATGAAGATACCAAGGTTGTATAATATACTTGACAAACTTCTCTTGTAAAGTTTGTATTCTTCCCTTCACGGGTCACGTGAATACGAAACTAACAAGATTGGAGTTATAGTGGATATTTGTGTATGAAGACACGAAAGAGTATCTTTATTAAATAAAAAAAATAAATAATAACAGAAAAGAAGCGAGAATTCAACTATTCTATCAATAGGGTAAGGGGTTGAAGTCTAAAGGTAGAATAAGGCGAACTTAGAGGCCTTTTATACATGAAGCGAAGGCTATAATCTACAAGGTCAAGTATATATTTGATTCTAATTCCACCATACTATTCCTTTCACTAACGATCCTTTTAATACTGTCTTTATGAATTATTATGTCCAATGTTGCCTTCACACGCTTGAATGTGAAGATAAGTCTTTGGTCGGGATCGGCTTACCCATACTCTCATATGCAAGTTGGATGGTATGGACAATCCAAGACCTACAACTTTATGCATATCAGTTTTGAAGTACCCAGGTTACTGTGCCATAAATCGGGTAACTTTTCAGGGTAACAATTCTTCCCTGCTAATCATGAGCTCCAGCGAATAAGTAAATTAGTGGGTTGGCAGTGGTAGTAATATGTATTGACTTTAAACATTCCATTAGCACTGTTAAGCTTCGTTGGTAGTAACAATTACCAACTATAAATGTTCCATAAGCATTGGAACAATGAATAAATAATTATGATCTAATAGTTCAGTCATAATATCGGTTAAGTAACAATGCATTGTATGGGGAGTCGGAATTCAGACCATTCGTTGCTTGTAACTGATATACATCAGGGGCTACTTGACTATGTATTATATAGGGGCCCAACCATTTTGGCATTAATTTCCCTGTATGTCGATCATGTATTGAAGTGTTAAACAATAGCACTTTATCCCCCTTTTGAAAAATCCGTAGAACTTTTTGTTCCATCAGAATTTTTGTCGTCATTGGGCTTTGTTAACATTTTCCTTAGCAAGTTCTCGTTTGACAGGTAGATCTTCCACCAAATCAAACAGCTGATCAAGCATATTTTCTGTTACTTCACTTTCATCAGCAAAATTTGGAAATCTGGCTTCTCTCCCATAAGTGAGATAAAAGGGAGTAAACTTGGTAGTGGATTGTTTGGATGACCTATAAGCATAGAAAACGGAGGGTATGATCGTATCCCATTTCCTATTTTGGTTGATCAGTTTGGCCAAAGATTCACAGAGTGTCCAATTGAATCTTTTTACTAACCCATTGGTTTGGGGGTGGTATGGCGTGGATAATATATGTTTGATCTCAAACTTTTGTGCCAGGAATTTAATAACATCGTTATTAAAATGTCATCCCCTATCTGAAATTAAATACTTAGGACATCCATGACGACATACAATTTCGTTAAAAATGAAATGGGCTGTATTCTGGGCACTTGCAGTAGGTGTAGCCATTGCTTCTGGCCATTTGGTCATGTAATCCACCGCGACTATAATATAATGATTTCCATTTTTTGTTATATTTAGAGGGCCTACAAAGTCTATTCCAATTTTATGGAACGGTGCCTCTATTGGAATGGGCTGTAAAGGCCCACATATTCTTTGTTTCCCCCTTCTTTGACATTCATCACATGTTTGTACATACTCACGAACGTATTCATATATTTGGGGCCAATAATACTTAGTACGGATTTTCTCAAACATTTTTCTCCATCCCTAAGTATGCTCCTAAGGGGTGAGTGTAGTTCATGTATAAAATCAGATCTACTTCATGTGTTTGAATAACACATAATAATTGATTTCTTTTTTGCCTTCTGCGGTCTCTCTTGTATAAGATATTATTTTGAATTATATAGAATTTACTTTGGGCCTCTAAGTTCCTTCTTTGTTGATTTGTGAAATGGTGAGGAAACTTAGCCATCTTTTATAATATTTAGTTGATTCTATTTGGACTATATTAATTTAAATATTTTAACTAAAGAAAATTTTATTTGTTAAGGGAGGCAAAGAAAAAATAATAATAAAAAATTTTAGGTTGCAGGGACTGACTTGCAAAATTTTTCGTCGTTTGGGGATGGATAACTTTCTTGGATATCTTAGATGCACATAGTAGGGTTTGTAATTTCCCACCAAATGGCATTACAAAGATATGCCCTAGAAAAATTATTAAACTCTTCCTTATACCTCGGTATAGGCGTTTCTAATACCAGTAACCACCAAGGATGACTTAATATTAACTCTGGGTTAAAAGAGTGGTTAATTCGTCTTTTTAACCTATTTCTCTTTTCATCAGACCGAGGATCTGATGCACTATTTTTACTTTGATTTGATTTTGCATAAGGAGCGTCAACTCTTCTAACTGTTTCTGCCTCGGACAAAGCATTCCACATATGGGCTATCTCTTCTTTAATATTAGGCATAGACCAATAACACTTTGAAACCTCTGATATTGGGTAAGCCTTTATGGTAATCCACATTTTTAAATCGCTCTTACACTTCGCACAGTCATCCTCTGGTGAGTATAATTTGTCACTACACCAACTTTGGGTGTTTGGACCTTTCCAGTCGAAGGGCCAATATTTATTTCTGGGTTTTTGTCTTAACCTCTTACATCAGCGAAATATATTAACGTAATTTTACATAAGTTATTATGGCCCGAAATATTGCGCAATAAATAATGTAAAATTATGAAGTATATTACGCAAAATTACGAAACTTATAGCGCAATATTACGTAATGTTTTGCGCAATATTTCGAATTAGTTCGAAAC